CTTAAAACATACGAATTTTCGTATCACCGTGAATATTTACGGAACAAGATATAAACCAAAGTTAAGTGCAGAGTTTTGGAACGTGGTAGCAAAAAATTTTCAAAATTCACTTTCGAAGACAGTTACTGTGAAGATTGAAGCGTAAATTGATTGAGAAAGTAAATCGGTGGTACTCGAAGCGTTAACGAGGTTATTTTGCGCAGACACTGAAATCGGTTTCGCGTTCTCGAGCATAGTAATCGCGTATGATATTCGTGGCGACACAATGCACGTCGACGATCGCATTCGTCCCGTGACATAGCGTTCCCAGTGACGGATGGCGGCGTCATCATAATTTACTCGTGAAAACGTATCCCCGCGCGGGCAATATCGAAACGGGCCAATATCGTTAACTCTAATTCGCTTGCGTTTGCGCAAGCATTACCGAGCGGCAATAACGAGATTAATAATGCGACCCTCGTCGATAATAAACGTGGAATCACGTACCATGGCAACATCGGTCTGCTTGATTTTGGTTCGCCGCGTCCACGCCAAGATCATTCGTCAATATTTATTTTTCTCCGATCACATGTCGGATCGTTCGCGAACTTCGTGTAATTTTCATTATTTTAAGGAAGCCAGCGGTTAATGATTAATTTTATTGCATACGCATGGTCGTCGAACAGCTGCCAGAGCGTTCTGAAACTTTCGAAGCGTCGCGTCGCTCGATAATCGATAATTGACACCGCTTCGTTGACTCCTGTGGCATCTTATCTCGTAATTAGCGTCACGGGAAGCTGTCGGTTCGTTGCACACCATCGATCCGCGGAAAGAGGGAACACCTTGACAACGACAAATTGATGCAATTCGCGGACGATACCACTTTAATCCGATACGACGATTCTCGCCGTGAAATCGTCAATCCGCGTCACCCATGATTTTTATCAAACTTTACCTTTAACGTGAGATTTATGGTCATTGATTGCACATATTTTTATCGAAACTCGTCGTACGGTTACTCTCGAACGCGGTTTTTCCTTTAATTGGGATATACCATTCACGTAATTGCGCGACTACGTATGTAATTATGAAATCCAGAATGTCGGACAAAATAAAATGATCGATTTCCTTCCAAGAACGATTGCACGTTTATTTCGTTTCTTTCTAAAACGAGAAAGTTTTATTTCCAACTCACGGACACAACAATGTCGAGAGATTGGAAAATCCACGATGTTGACCGTTCCAAGTATAAAATTGCTCGAACGTAAGCCGGATACAGCGTTTCTCGATATAATAGAATCTAGCTTCTTTCCATTCTCCTCGATACGATGACCATAACAAGAGTAAATACGCTGGTATATTATTTAATAAATTTCATCCCGATACTCTTTTCGCTCACGACGAAACGATCTTCCGGCTCGAAACAAGTTTCCTCGGCCCGCCTAAACGCGAAACGCTGTTTCCAAACATGGTCGCGGAATTTGGACGAATTGTCCGTCGAACTATCCGGATAACAAATAGCCATGAACCGTTCGGGCGCGTTTGCATGCAACCGCACGTGGTTCCTGTCGGTTCGGCAACACCTCTTTTTCCCGTGCTTCCGTTTTCGTATCGCCGGCGAACACGGTCCTCTGGACAGAGCTGGGAGTCATTGTTCAAGTCTATCGTGATAAGCCCGTGCCGCTGCATTTCCGGGATTCGCGTAATCGTCGCACGCGCAATGAATTTTATGACGGACGCGTGCGGCGAATTTGTCAAGCGAGAAGAGATAATGCAGCAACCCAGCGATCATGCGAAACGGCTCGATGAAAATTTCGAGAACCGATCGATCCTACGAGTGGGGACGAAATTAAAAACACATGGTCTCGCCACGAATCGAAAAATAAAACTTGTTGGTAGACGAAATCGTAATTTTATGACTTGGAGGAAAGGGGTGAGCTTTGCAAGAGGCGGGCAAACATAATTTTGTAATATTCTACTAAATATTTTCGACCCTCTGCACAAAACTTATGACTTGACTTCGTAAAAAATACCATACAAAGTACTCTCTAAATAATAGGAGTACCAATATTTCTCTGTTATTAATATCGATAAAACCTCTTTTGCTTTGCAAGAATTCAAATATTCCATTAGATAGGGCCATCTATGTAATGATATAACGTTTATAACGTGTTATTTACAGCGAATGGCGGCAAATAATATTAAAATAAATTGCACAGCTGCTTTGTAATGTTCCAAATCGAAGATTTATAATGGAAACATATCGCGAAAGTACGTATGTACATTTATCCTAGTTAAAACTGACAATTGGTTATATATAGACTGCGGATCTTCATGCAAATTCATATTTTTATTAATAAAATTAATGAAATTGGAGCTTTGTAGAGGGCTGTCTCAAACCCTAGATATAATAATTTGTACCTTACTTGAAGTATTTCTTATATTCTTGCATATTAACTAAATTCTGTAGCTTTTTGAAAATTAAAATTTCCCATAAATGCATAAACATCCGCAGTCTAGTTATATAATTTAGACACCATCAAACGCTACCATTACTAAAAAGCAGATATTAAATACCGAATAAAGCAAGAAACATGTATGTTCACGTATCAAAACACATAAAGAAACAGTTTTTGGATTTACTATTCAATTTTCTACGTATCTCAGCAGAGATACGTTTTCTGTAGTTGAACGAAATAATGTCAAAATACGAGAACGGTTCGAATCTTTCCCTGGTAGAATAAGAAATCGTCCGTGAACACGAGATCGTTGGTCGATCCGTCGAACAAAAGGGATCCGGTGAGCGCAAACAATCCCAGCGTCCCAGGAGCGAACTGTAAATGGCAATATTTTCCAGGAGGGTGGTAAATGGCGTGGCACGGATTCACGGTCAAAGACGCCGGGGCGTCGCTGGGTGGGGGGGGAAGTAAATGACTCGAACGGGAACAAAGAGTCGACGGAATACGTACTGCGAAAGTCGAGCGCAAAATGCGACACAACGTGGCCGCGATGAAATATTAATTCACGGGTCAGGGGCTGCATTAAACCGGAAGTGCAGTCGGCTGGCCGACGCGCGGCAAGCTGTTGCGTCCGGTTTCCTCGCGGGCCACGTGACGGCGCAAACGAGACGTCCAAACCTGCCGGAATAAAACTTTAACTGTCGCTGCTTTGGGGCTCCCATAAACGCGGTATTTAATTTGAAGTTATTAAAATTGAGGGATTTCTAATAGCTGAGCATCTTGAGCACCGTTGAAGGTAGATTAGTAAATGTCACTTGATGTCAAGTATAATATATATGAATGCATGTAGGTCAATTCAGAGATACGTACGAACGTCTTTGACGATCGCCATCAGACATTTTACTGCATCGAGGAATCGGAGACCTTTTCTGCGATAATATTAGATGCCATAACGGCGCATGCCTGGGCTGTTCATAGATGCCACACCCGACATGCTCCACACTATCGTGTGTATTCCCCGCGATTATGAGTTCCCACTTGCGATAGAATGCTCGATAGTGCCTTTTGTCTTGAAAGAAAAATTAGTTTCTCAGGAGAGAAATATTCGCAAGATCGTGACCAGAGTACTTTTTAAAGTTGCTTATTCTTATTTCATTTTAAACACCAAGTCATCGCTTAACGCCCTGTAAAGATACCTCTATCAAGATTCTATCGAAACCATGACCAAGCCATAAAATCGAAGAAGAAAAAGACGTCGTTTGCCCTCAAAATCATCTTATTATTATCCATTATTTGTATCTTACCAAGCCCCTCTGAACTGATCAATTTTACAAAATGAAAGATAATTAATTCTTTTAAGTCGTCATAGCAGATATTTAATAAAAGATTCTCCGAACCCTGAAGCCCGGAGAACGAGTATAATTTTTCCAATATCCTGCGTAAGGAGACGATCTAACCGGGGAAATCAAACCCCTCGTATTCGGATCTCAGATTCACCGACACGATCGAACTTCCGTCATTTCGTCACGATCCAGGTTGGTGGCTCTGACATGTCTATGCGGGGCGTACGAACAGATAGGGGTCCGGAGGGGTGAAGAGTACGAGCAAAATTCGATGACCTATATATGCAATGCACAATGCGTCCGCCGCACAAAGGCCAGCGGGAGATACGAAGTGCCTCGCGACTCCGTATCGATTCAAAATCAATACGCCGTATCTCGGCGATGTGTCAATACAAAGAGCCCCGACGTGCAAAGAGCTCGCCCCTGCCTTACAATTGGTCCTTGTACCGAAGCCAACTAAGATCCGCGGATTCTTAGGCATCGATTTCGCCTCGTTAATAATCGTGACCGTCGAAAGATCGACCGACAGCCATCTGTCGATACGTCGAGATTAAATATTTCCTGCGTCGAGACGAGGAACTCGAGATTTAGGAAAAAATTTCATGGAAAGATCTCCGAAAGCGTTCGATCGTTCTTGCGTTTTTGGACAGTTTCGCGGAAGTTGCGGTTCGAGGTCAACGAACGTCCCGAAGGAAATTCTGGAGTCCCCTCAGGGACAACTGGCGTATCGTAATCCTACGAGGACACCAGATGGTAGAGAGGGTCTGAACCTAATTTATGAAATGTTTGCTTCAAATTCGAGGATTTATGCTGCTACGTTACGGGCGCATGCAAAATTCAAGAAACCACCCTGGATACTCGTTGGTATTCTCCTGGTTCTTGCTAGAGCGAAGCACTCCAAATACGTTTTGGAGAAAGCACACCGTTAGAATGAGATGTTGGAATTTTCCGTGCTGATGTCTGCGATAAATTAGAAATGAAATAATTCAACGTAAAAAGAACGAGTCTTTCGTTTGTTTTCTACGCCCATTTCATTCTCATCGAACTAGTATCAATTCGCAAGATTCGTAAACAGACTTTGTGGATATCTTGGCGATCTTCGCCTTTTGCGAACCGACGTAACAAAACAACGGTTGTTTGCTATCTGATTGGATCGATCCTGTTCTTGTTCGAGGGGGGAGGGGCAGGGTTATCGCAAAGAACGATTCGAGAAACGTTCATGCGAAAAACGTCCTGGACGGTACTGTGTTCTTTGAACCGAATGTATGCTCAGCGCTAGGGAATTCCGGCAGAAAATTTAATAACGCCCTGTCAAGACGATCTTTGTTTGCTTGCAGAACGAAAACAGAGCCCTGCGACTGAAGGAGCCGGCGTCGTTGGCCCTCTCCGCCGGAAATTCCGGCAGCTACGTGGACCCAGATGGTACCGCCATTGTGATGTCGTCTGAGCTTCTTCCTGCACCGACTCCGGATCCCAGAGTGACGTGGAACTACTTCGACGAGCAGGGGTAACGATAAATCGCCATTAACAAATTCTTTCCTAACCAGTAGCAAGATGGACTAGCAAAATATGAGACTGAAAAATGAAAGAATATTCCCTCTCGTTTCACTTTTAATTATTGTTACCATATCTAGAACTCTGCTATGCAAATAATGAATATTTTCCAATTACGTGTTCCTTTAGGTACGTCTCGAGAGGAGGTCTTCGAGCGGGAGAAGATCCATACGCGAGGAACAAATTTAATCAAGAAGCTTCCGATGGACTCTCGAGCAATCGCGATATTCCGGACACCCGCAGCGCCATGTAAGTGAAATCTACGTATTTTATTGAGTTTCCTGTTCGCGAAGAGTAATCTATTCGTCCGAGACTCGAGGAAATCACGTTTACGGAATTTCTATTCACGACCGTGTCGCGTACAGTGTCTTGTCATTGCGGAAATAAAGAATAAATAGAAAATAATTTGGTCAAATATTTCTCGTCCATTTTTCGATCACGATTGCTGGGACGTCTTATAGAATAAAAAACAATTGCAAGTCGTTTACTCCGGTACATCGACAATCTTCAGTCGCCATCGAAGTCGTAAATGTCACGCGAAGAACGTAAATACCGAGAGACTGATAATGAGAAATTTTTCTACGAGCATTTTTACGCATCCTGCATCGTAATCGCATGAATCGAAGCAATGCAGCTAACGCCACGATCGGAGCGATCGTGGACGAAGAGCGATCGTCCGATGAAGAGAAATGCGAGGATCTGTCGGTCGATCAATCCCTTCATACACTTTTATTGGGAGCTCCGGGCGCAACACGAGAGGAATTATTCATCGCAGATCATCGCGAAGATCGCCGCCGAGCGTTGGGAAATTATGAATATCTACGAAAAACAATCTTACGTACGAGCTGCGATGGAACAACGAAAACAACGAAGGAGGATCGTGTCTCGGAGGAACTAGGTTCGATCACTTGTCAATCGTCCATTATATTCATAAAAAAAAGAAATTATTTCTCGATTATCGCCGTAGATTCTTCCATGGAGACAAAGCAGATTTTGGACCTCGAAGAGGAAAATTAACAGATTTATTTTTGTTCGAAGCTTCGATCAATTTGTTTAAAAAAATGTTACGTTTTCCTGACGTTCGGGAAAGCACCGATTATTTGCAACGAAACAAAATTGTGACAAGTATTTGGAAATTCTACGATCGCCGTGATATTTGCATCGACGAATAATAGACCTTTCGAGCATTGTCAACTGTACTGTGTAATATTTTATATTTTTTTTTTTTATTTTTGTCGCTATATTGTACTCACGTACCACGTGTCGTAAAATATTATCGAATTTACATACTGCCGGTTTATTATTATTCCTGGCGCGTTTCCGACATCCGCTTTCATGGAAACACCGCGACATTATTCTGGTCATTGGCGGGACAATTGACCATTCCGATCAAACGCGATCGTTTTTAATAGGCGCGTTGCGTGCGTGATACTAATAAATTATAGTAGAAACGTTCGAACATCGAGTGTGATTAAAAATTGATACGGACGTAACAGGAAGAGCAAGCACTAAATTAAATTTAAAAAAAGAAATAACGTAAGTAGGTATTTACTACTTATCTTTCCCTCTTTTAACGAAGGAAAGAAGATTATTAACTTTCTAGTTTGAGACTGTTATTAAATACTCTTACAGTAATCTTCTCTTTTCCATCGACCAATAAGTATTTATTAAGTGCTCGATCGATAAGCTCCAATTATTTATTAACGAAACTGTTAGACGTTCCTTTTCTCTTAGTAGCATTCTACGAGCATTACTGTAACTTCACTTGAGGGCACCGTAAACTTGGAGATGACAATGTCGAAGAGTTCAGACCAAAGACACGAAAACAGATCGAATAATTCGATCCCCACGGATTGATCGATTCCGATCGCGACAAACAGTGAATGGCTCTCGATTAATTAACCAATCCTCGGTCGTATAGCAAATCGATTTCGAGCTGACGAAGAACGGAGGATCAAAGTACGGGCAAGGGTTAGGAGCACGGGTTTAACCTCGATCCACAATTTGCGGTGCACTGTTCCACGTCGATATCGGAATGTAGTTTCATCGACCAGCGACGCGAAATCGGCGACTTTCGACGAAAAAGGAAGTCTTTCTTTTCGACTTCGAACCTGTGCCGCGAACAGGCCAAAGAAATAACTATCCCGAGGCAGCAGGATGAGATTGAGGTCGCGAAGTTTAGAGGCCGTTCGAGATAATGGTATTGCCTTCCACACCTACCACGCGTAATCAGGATTAAAGAAGTCCTCCACTTTAGACCACTAAACAAAATACAGTTCCTTGTGAACTTTCTGCTCGAATAAACGAACCAACAATGTCCTTTTTCTTTGATCCTATTTCTGGTAGCCTCTTCAAAGTTTATATACTCGTATGCATTTTGAGAAGACATCTATTTTTCTTTGAACGAATTGTCAGTGTTTGAAAAATAAGCAAAATAGTAGAACTTCGAGTAAAATGCTTTATATTCGAAAGAGAAATATTTTTGACGTTCTTTCAAAGTTCTCGTTACGAGTTGGCGGGGGGCGATCCGTCTCTCGCAAAATTTCGCGCGGACATCGAAACGAATTAATTAACGAGCGACGTTGGAATAAATTCTGGCCCTGTCGCTGTCCATTCAGCTGGGGTAATCAATGGTTAATGGAACCGATCTAATTCCGGCGTCCGACTACTTTCACGGACCAATAATTTATTTACCGTTAGTTCCACCTAAACGAACCTTTCGAGTCTGTTTGTAAAGCTCTTCCATTCTACGTTCGAGAGCTGAATTTCATTAATTGAAATTCTGAAATTCGAAATTCCGTTGATGTTGACCCATTGACTCATGATAACTCACGTGTACGAATATTACAACAACTTATTTACAAGGAATTCTAAAAAATTGAACGTCTAACAAGATGTGCTCGTAGTAAAATTGATTTTATATTTTACCAATTTTCTTTTCATTTTTATGTCACACGAATAAATACTAGTTTGCAAATAAATAAATATCGTTGGTTTAAGCGTCGCGATATTATTTGTTGAACCCGAGCATCGCGTCCCTCGAACGCCACTGGGAATCGAACAGTATTCTTCTAAGAACAGGACCGTGATCGATACTGCTTCGAAATCGAAAGGGTCGCGTTGTGTTCCGCGAGTACCGAATGCATTTTCCGTTCCCGCCTTTCCGACTGTCTCCGACGGAGCAGGAGAGCCCTTCAATCCTCCGCGGTGATCTAATTTCCTGGGTACTCTACCTACTCTTTCACCCGTCGACTATATCCTGTTTCCCCTGAACAGACGCGTTCAACAAGTACCGAAGCTTGACTGTGATCCCCCGTAGACGGAATCTTGAATTCGCGACAGATCTTGCGTTGCAGAAATTTCAACGAATGGCACTGTCTGTCGCGCCAAACTCGAAAATAACCAAAGTTCTAGAAACGTTTCCATGGGCGAATCGAAACTACACAGTCTGTGGCGAATACAAGTGGGCGTCTCATAGAACAAGAAAGTCAATTTGTTCGTTGACAAACATTGAACAATCATAGAAACTTTAATATTCCTACTCCTATTTATAATTTTCAGGGGTCGAAATTCTCCAATCTCCGAAATAAAACGTACTTGTGGTGGAGGTTTTATGTCTGAGATACTAATTGCTAAAACTACGCGAGAAACTACGATTTTTACACTTTTCTTACGCCAGTTGACAAACTTCGACGACCATAAATTAGGAGGCGCCGTTGAACCAGTGAGAAATCTTGTCTGCTTTTCTTCAGACGTTTTTTCGCCTTCTCCTTGATCTTTTCACTCGCATTTCCCTTTCCATGACCTACCTTCAGATGTACCTTCACTTTTTCCACGACTCCTCAGATTCTATATTTCCAATCCCGTAGTAACTACGCCTGATTTTTCGACAAAATATTCTCCAAAAATAAATATCGAAAGATAGAAAACAAAACATCCTTGAAAATGAATTTTGTTTCAAGTGGATACCGTAGTTAGTTCCAGAGAAACTTCTTTAGGTGCAAAGAGTCAAAGTAAATTACGAAATAAACATAGAAGACAGCATAAATTATAGTAGTTGGTATAGTCATCGGATAGGGGATGAAATGCCCTTTAAAATGAGCGTTCGTACGAGTCGATAGCGTAATTAGTTCCGGAGATATAGTGATTTTAGTTTCAAGTCGATCGAATGGCTAGTTTCGGAGATACGAGGGACCGAAGCGTTTGTTTACTACGGCCTTGTCAAGGTCGTTGACCGCACGTGACTCGTATTAACTAGGTCACGCGACCACTCGGTCACGAGACACGTGCGAGAAAGAGAGGTCCAACGCGACGCGTCAGACGGAGACAGCGATAGTCGAATTAAAAAAAGTACCCCTTCACATAAATTACGATATCTCGAAAACGACAAGTCCGATCGCCAAAAACCAAAAACCAGTTTAAAGAGGAAGCTTTGTCGCTTCTAACGGCGGCTCAATTATTAATAAAACACTAATAACTCCGGAGCTACATGCGTCTAAAGTTTTGGTATTTTCAATGCACGTTAACAGACTATTCTAAGACAGTGAAAGATAATCTCCTGTCTTCTTTGTTATAAATTTCCTATTTACATTGAAAGTTAACCAGAATTTGATACCAAAAAAACATAAATCGTTCAACCGGTCGTGGAAGGTTTAGTTTTAAGAAAAACTTGATCGAGCTTACATTATATTATTAGAGTTTTAATTCTCTGAAAGTAATCCCCGGACAAAATGGTTGGCTTAATTCGAAAGGAATTACTTTTTAAAGGTCTACGAAGGTTTCTATTGTCCTAACATGTCGAGTATTCTCTTATATTTCTTAGTTATCGTATTATCCTCTTGCTAGAGAACTATAATACTAAATTTCTTGGTTTAAAATTTTTCTACAACACCAACGAACATTCACAGTGCAGTCTCAGTAATAATAGATTCTTTGCAATTTAAACAAAATATTGGAATAAGCAATAGTGCATTTAAATACATGTTTGTGGTGTTTCGCAACACAAAATGCTGTTCTCTCTATTTCAATTTCACGTATACGCTGCCACGGGATTGGAGGGGAGGGTGTATCGTATTTTGGAATCGTCGGAGATCGTTTTTGGAACAGGAATGGTCCCGATAGCCAGTCTAGCCGCAATGTTATAAAGTCGGGTTCGAGGGTATGATAACGGAAACCTCAGGAACCTACAGGGTCCACTTGCCAGCGTTGCAGCTACTCTCAATGGAGTCGTTCAACATTTACATAACATT